CACGCACGCACGCACGTACTCACGCACGCACGCACTCACTTACGCACACACTCACTTACGCACGCACGCACGCACGTACTCACGCACGCACGCACTCACTTACGCACACACTCACTTACGCACGCACGCACGCACGTACTCACGCACGCACGCACTCACTTACGCACACACTCACTTACGCACGCACGCACGCACGCACGCACACCCTCTCACAATCGTGCATATAGACACGATCGCACGCCCACACGCACGCAGGCATGACTACATAAGATATGAGTAGAAACACACCGACAGAGAGAGAGAGGGGTGAGAGGGTACGCGGAAAAAGATAGTCAGAGACCGGCAATATGTTAGCGTTGTTTTGTGAGAGAAAATATGGAGAGACGGAGAGTAGCTAGTGGAGAGCACTATATATCAACGGATAGAGCGGAAGAAGTGTGAGAGAAAGACAGTGAGCGACACACAAAGCGAGATACACATGGAGCGGTAGATAGGGGGGATTAATGGAGAGGCAGAGAGCGAGGGAGAGCGATTGATACAGAGAGTGGGAGAGAGAGAGAGAGAGAGAGAGAGAGAGAGAGAGGCAGAGAGCGAGGGAGGTTTGCGATCGATGTGATCAGAGATCTGCATCACTACATCCGTACGACGAAAAAAAACTTTCGTCGGCGTCGACAGAGGCAGGCATGCGCCGATGACGCGTGTGACGTAGGCGGTCGCCCGCGCGCTCGCAGAGGCGTACCACTGCCTCGCCTACCTCCTCCCTCGGCTTACACCGCCAGAATATTTATAGCAGTACTAGTCCGTCTACACGCAGGTAAAGCAGCTCTACGCACCTCTACGCACTCCGCATATATACATTTACAAACGTGTATATATACGCGAATCTATCTATACGCGCAGACGTATATAAATATAACACCTTACCGTTGACGTTATCCGAGAGGAGACTCTATACTGGCGGTGATCACTTGTTGACATTGTCAACAACGCGCTGCCAAACAGAATCAATCTGTTCGTGTTCAACTGCGATTTTCTTTCCGTACCTAGCTGCTCTGCCGCAGTACACACCGTGATCGCCAATTAACAGGTGAGTTGTTCGATGTGCTCAACAACATACAAACGTTGGTGTTTGTGTTATACCCTTTCGGTTATATTTATTATATAACACTAATGGTTTCTTTCACTTCATCTGATGCTTTAAACTTTTGCGAAAAGCGTTTTTATGTCGGAATTATAATCTAATCTTAATATTTCTATAATATAGTGGTATCGGCTGGTTATTAGCAAACAAAACGTAAATTCTCATTTATATTTATAATATAGTTTTGTTAACTTGTTATTCGGAAACCGACGGTCGATTCTGATATAGATTTATAATATAATTGTATCGTTACATATCAGTTATTCGAGGATGGTAGTTTACATAATAGATTTATAGTTGTGTCGTTACGTATCTGTTAATCGAGAATGATAGTTCACTTCTCATATAGATTTACAATATAGATGTATCCTTATATATTAGTTAGTCGAGAACCATGGCACGCTTCTCATATAGACCTATAATATAACTGTATCTTTGTATATCAGTTATACGAAAATCATAGTTCAGTTCTCATACAAATTTATAATATTGTTGTTACGTTATATATCAGTTATTCGAGATTCACAGTTCACTTCTCGAATAGATTTATAGTGTGTTTGTACCGGCATGTATCAGTAATCCGAGAACAAAGGTCCAGTTCTTACATTTAGTTATAATTATTATATTATATCATATATTTGTTATAAGGCTACAAAGAATACCGCGTTGTAGTTGATGCAGAGCATG